CCGGGCGCCGCGGGTTTGCCCCGCAGGGGGCGCGCGCGGCTTACCCTGAACTGGCCGCCGCTGCCGTCGTCCAGCTCCAGGATGTAGCCCTCCGCGGGCACCGCCGACAGCGGCGGCTGCTTCCAGGACAGCGTGGCGCTGTTGTTGTGGGTGCAGCACTCCTCCAGCTGCAGGATGGGGGTCGCTGGGACTGGAGAGGAAGCTAAACAGAAATTAGTGTCACCCTGGCTTCTGTTGCGCTGCAAACGCTTCAGCGTCTTGGAATGATAGACATTCCTCTGATAAGCGTGACTAGGCTAAGGGGCTAGCCCCGGGTGCATGGGGGACCTGAACAGGACCCCCCCCCCTCCGCATCAGACATCATCCGTAAGGGAAATGATTTAGATGGGGGACAGATTTCCAGTCCAGCCCACTAAAGCCTGTTTAACCCATCCCATGGCTGACAAATCTATCATAACATTTATTCTGAGCCCTACACCCCAAGTTTATAAAGTTGGAACTGCTCATTCTGAGAAATATCTCTGAAACCACTGTATTTCTAAGGTCCTATCATTTTATTTATTTTTTAAACCAGTGACTCTACTCAAGGCCTTGTGCATATAAGTAGCTAAAACAGTGTACTGTTGAAAATTTGGTATCAATTGACACAGTGATTCCTCAGTTTTGAAACATCTGAGGAACTTGACATCATTCTTCCAAGGTAGCTATACCTGGAAGACAGCACTGGCTCACCTCCATTCTCTCTGCAGGTATTGAACAGTCAACTGGGAGTCTAGAGAGCAGGATGGGAGCCGTGGGGCCTGGCAGGGGAGAGGCAAGGTGTCCTTGTGACCCTGTGGGAATCTGTCACAGTGTTTCTAGTCGCAACATAACCCTGTCTTCATTTTGTGCCACGTCTTCTGTGTTACTTAACACTGCAGATTAGTTAAGCCTTTAGCCACACGGACGCAGAAATGCTAGGTAAAAAATAATCCAAGTTCCTACATAAACTCAATCTATATATCTGGGAACAACGTTTTTACCAACTGCTTAAAATCTTTTTTCAGCACCAGAATATAAATTTATTTTTGTAGCACTTTAACAATAGGAGAAAACAGTTTAGCTCACATCCAGGGACATTTAGATGAACAAATGCTAATTGTGGAACACCTGGTAAGCTGAACTAAAACTAGGCTCTGAATGTCATGCATTGAATTAAATCTGTTCCTTGCCAGTCACCCCAAACAAGGACACGGTTAATTTAATAGCTGTTTAAGAAACAGGTTCTGTGGTGGGTAGCCTAGAAAACAAAAGCAGTGACTATACCATGAGAGATGTGAACATAAAGCAGGTCAATTACCTTATACTTATGAAAAGACCACAATACATTACGAGAAGACCATGCCTGAGTTACTAGATCAAACATAATTAAATTAAAATTATGACCAGTTAATTGGAGGTGTTCTATTTAGGAAGGGACATCATGTTTCAAGTGTTAATGGCATAGAGTTCAGACGGAATCTTATCAGAAAACAATGGCACCTGTAGCCCCAGAAATCCCAGAACATCTGGATGTGGAGGAAATGAGATACATTCATTGCCTTGTTCAATAGAAAGACTACAGGACTGGATGGAGGAAGGAAAAGAGAGAAGACATAACTCCCTCTAATGATTCTAATGACCATCTACACATAAGCAGGTATCACCCAAGAGTTGTAATTAGAGGGTTAACTTTAGGTTATTATACATGTTAGGGACTTACTTTGTCATTTATACATTTTTCCTTATAAAAAGAATACATTTGAGCATATTAATTGTGGAGTAAAATATGCCAAGTTCAAGTAAACCATTCTTCAAAGGGCTTCTAAAGACATGGTTTGATTCTTCCTGGGGACATTTGCTCTTAACTGGCCTTATTAGTTAGAGCTACCATAAATCACCAATTCCTAGGACTCTCTTTATTTCATTAGCTCTCCTATCAGTCTTCATTTTCCCTCTGTTCATGTTTCAGGAAAGTTATATTTCATTAATTTTAAAATCAAAGAATGAGATTACTGTAAGAAACCAATAAGATGGTTTCAGGTTGAATCATACAAATGCTTGCAATGTCTCTGATAAGAAACGCAAATTTTCATGGAAAACAGTATGGAGTTTCCTCAAATTTCCCTATATAGACATAGGTATAATGAAAAGATTAATTGAAATACATAGTGTCATGTATAATTAAAACATGTGAACTTCATTTATAAGTCCTCAGTGCACACACTTTAAAAGACCAAAAGGAAAGAAAGAAGTCTAACCACTCACTAATCTTCAAATCTTAATATTGTCCCAGGTTTAAACAAATAAGCAAACAAAAAGAGAGGAAGTGAGCATGAGAGAGAAACTAAATGAAGGGCCCTAGAGACATTTGCATGTCTAAGTTTATTTCTCAGTGTGCTCAGAATCATTTTTTTTCATTATTTATCCCAAAGTGATGTTGCATATGAAAGGCAAATGTGACAATGTTAAGGCTGACATGTTAGAAAAACATTTTATAGTGAATGTTAACATTACCCCTTTCACTTTGTTAGGTATAAAATAAATGGTCTACAAGAATCCAAAGTATTTCCAAATTAATTTACCTTTTTGGAAATGGGTAGCATCACAGTTCCTGGGCTGAATTACAAGAAAAAATGTTTTATTGAAACTCCTGTAACTGAAGCTGCCATAGCTATCTTAATCTGAACGCTTTTGTGATCATTCCTAGACATCATTGGTTTCTCCTAAAGAACTAATTTCTCCTATCTGATCAGAATTCTAGTACTTAGCATTCTTTTAGCCCATAAAATCAAGCTTCAGGCTAAAAGTCTCCTCTTAGATAGAAAGGGGAAGCTGCTCTCACTGACTTCCTTGAAGGGGCCTGGTGGAGCTATGGCTCAAAATTAAATTTTGCAACAGTGTCTTCTTATACTAAGGTTTTCAAATGTTTTAACTTTTTAAGGCCATTCTGGTTCAAATTATGGCTCAGATTTTTCATTTTCATTTAATATTTTCCCCCTAATCCTTCAGATAGTCACAGCCACCCAGAATTCCTCTGTAAAAGGTAACAGGACAGGTGAGGAGGGGAAGTTGGCCTCCCACTGTCTACAGGAAAAAATGATAGGTGACACCTTTGAGCACTTACTGAATGCACAACAGTGTGGTGAAGAGTCTTATATGGATTCACTCATTTAATTTTCANCAGGACAGGTGAGGAGGGGAAGTTGGCCTCCCACTGTCTACAGGAAAAAAAAATGATAGGTGACACCTTTGAGCACTTACTGAATGCACAACAGTGTGGTGAAGAGTCTTATATGGATTCACTCATTTAATTTTCACAACAATCCCACAGTAACTGGTACTGTTATTATCTCAACTTTGTAGATGAGGAAACTGAAACACAGAAAGTCTCATGGCTAGTAAGTGGCAGAGTTGGGATTTAAAGCCAAGCTTGCATTGCATTACACTGCCTCTCTCGTCTGCTTTTATTAATAGTGCACTAGAGGGAAGTCTCCACACCTAATTCCAAGGGGAAGTTTCTTTTTGTTTCTATATGGGAACAATAAAGCCTCCCAACAACTGATGGTATGGATTAATGAAATATTTCACTGTACAAGCTATGGTGGTTGGGAATACCATTTTACTGAGTCACTTTCTCTGAAAGTCCCTTTGTGAACTGTCATTTTTTTTTTTTATGGTGGCTGAACAATACAAATGACATCTAAGGAGAGTTTAGACTGTTTCTGGCAAGCTGTCACTACTACAGTGTTAAAGATAAACATGAACCCAGGTTTTGAGTACATGGCTTTTACACCCCCAAACCATGAATGGGTAACATGAGTGAACAGATTACATGCAAGCCACTGTGTGTGCTCAGCTCCATCGCTGCCAAACCCCTGGGTGCACTTTCTCCATGATTTATAGGAGAGTCTGTTCAGGTCACACTGTCCTTGCCCATGACCTTGGTGCATACTCAGAGCTCTTGCATTCATCATGAATTAATAAAGATACATGTGTCTTAGGTGAGTCCAGGCACTTAAGGGGATTGGCAGCCTATGTGCTAAAAGGCTTGGTGGAGTGTTAAGTCACTGTTTCATCCTGGTTCACAATGAACACATTAGTGTTTCATTTCAGCACCAGGACTTGTGAATTTTGCAATACTTTGTGTACTTAGACGTCTCTGGGGTAATATTGTTCTGGGAGGGGGTAGGGATCTGAAATCTATTCTGAGCCAAGCAGCAGGACCCTTTATGGACTAGGAAAAGAATCTTAAAACTTCCTTCCCATGACCTGGGAAAAAGTTGACAATAGCAATTTAGAATTAAGGAACAACTAAAAGCAACAACAACAATAACAACAATAAACACAAAGTAATGAAAACAAAAAGAAAACAAAGCTTAATCTGTTGTTTTCTATAAAAGAAAAGTCTGAGAGATGAAACACCACTCCCCATAGTCTTAGATGATTTTCTAATCAAAAGGCAACTAGAGAACATGTCATTAAAATTGCTTGGGGGGGATGTGAAATCAGAAAGAGCAGATTAGTTAAATCCTTAGTTAACAGAATAATTTTAGGCAGTGTGTTCTCACTGAATAGTAGCTGGCCTAAATGGAAACACGTAAAAACCAACAACAGAACTATCTTCTTTGATAGTAAGAAAAAAAGGCATCTGAGATAAAATTTCAAAACCAGAGAGATGCTAAAATTTTGACTCAAGGAGTAAGCAGACATTTTAGCTGTCGGTTTGAGTCATAACTTTAAATGCATATTTTATGTAATTTTGAAAATATTTTAACTTTCTACTATAACCCACAATTAGAAGACAATTGGAACAATTAGAAAACATATCGAATTACACGTATTATTTTCACAATGGTCAGATTCCTTAAAATGCTACTTAAATTTTGGTCATTTATACATGGATTTTGGGGTGCAGTTTCTTGAGATGTTTTTACTGATAAACTGTGAAAATGCAGTTTATTAAACTGACTACAAATATCCTAAAAAATTAAAAAGTCTAAAACTGCACTGATACAGTTGTATAGATGTTAGCAGTTATTAGAGGCCAGTAGAAGTCTTCACAACAGCCAATCAAGTTCCAGGCCATAAGGAGCTTTGGCTTTTTCCTTCCATCGCAAGCATCTGACAGATAAAAATTATTCTGATTCTAAAGAGGACTGTGCTCTCTGAATTAATTAAACGTAATGAGCACAAGGCAAAGCATATAAATGAACTAATCAGAAGTAAATTAAATTAAGATGAAGTGTTAAAAAGAAGAGAAAAATGGAATAATCCAGCCTCCTACAAAATACCCTGTTATATCACCTTCATAAATAACCATTCTGGATAATTTTGTGTTCAGGTGAATTCCTGCTGTGAGTTCTGCATTTTGGCCTTTAGACCGCTTGGCATTCTCTGCTGTGTACACAGACTAATGGGCTGTACACACAGCTGTGCCCACGCTTCTATCTGTGTGCGGCCTGAATGGCCAAGTGACGATGCTTTAGGAATGTGGTCTGTGAGACACAGCACATGAACCTGAGGTCCCCATACCAGACAAAGGGCCTGTTCACTCCAACACAATGGTTACCATCCTCCCAAGTGGCTTGGGCTCCACGGTAGGCAGATGGACGTGACTCAGAATGACAGCGACTGGGGGAGGAGTGGGCTCTGCCTGCTGATGGAAGCTCTTCAAAGTCCTGAGGCTTTTACCCTCTACCTGGCCCTCCCCTCCTGGCCCATCATCAAGGCTAATTGGGTTGGCTCTTTTTTTCCCTCTTCCCCACCAAAGCCTTTATATTACTCTTTTATGACATATTTTCTCTTTTGAGTTGCTTGTGACATAACCCTTCAATGATTTTTACCTCATTGAAAGAATTGGGTACAGAGAGATGCTGATGGGGAATTTACCTGGGGCTCTAACCACGACTCACATGGCTCTATTCCACAGGCTACTGTGTAGGTCTTAAAGAAAAAATTTTAAACAGCAAGAAAGAGCTGCTGCAACAAAAAAATTAAATTTCTTAAGTTTAAGAGAGGAATTCAGTTATTCCTTAAAGAAGCCGCTTAGCAAGGCACTGGCTTTATAGCACAAACTGGAAGTTTTAGGTGTGGGTTTCCCAGCCCTGCTCCCTGGCTTGAATCCTGGGCTGGCACTCACTAGCTGTGTGAGCTCAGGTGAGTAACTCAGTCTTCTTGTGCCTCAGTTTTCTCAGCTGCCAACTAGGGCTGCGAGAATAAAATGAGTTAATCCATGTAAAGCACTTAGGAGGGTGTCTGACTCAGTAAGTGGTCAATAAATGCTAAACATTTTGTTACCGCAGCAAAGCATTTTTGTTTACAACCTATACACTACTTTATTCAAATATGAATTAAAGCATCATCCCAAAGCAGTACACAGTAAAACAAAAAATGAGGAAACTAAAAATAAAAAGGCAAAGATCCATTAAAAAGATGAGTTTAACTCAGTACATGGCCCTAAACCTTGCTGGGTTATATGGATCTGTCTGTCTGATAAAGGAGGCACATAGATTTTTCTTAAGAAACAAAAATTTTAAAGCACTGACTTCAAAGTCATTTATTATGTGGACACTTTAATTGGGAGAAGCAAAGAGCAAATCAATTTCTTAAGAAACATCAGAAAATGACTAACTTATAGAGAGAACAGATCAGGGATTGGGGTCGTGGAGGGAGGGGGGTGGCTGTAACTATAAGGGGTTAGACTGAGGGAGATCTCTGTGGTGATACAATAGTTGTGTATCTTGACTGTAGTGGCGGTGCACACCTGACAAGATGGCATGGAACTAGACACACACAACATGTCAATGTCGATTTCCTGTTTTTGACATTATATGATTGTTATGCAAGATGTAACCATTGATAGAAACTGCATAAAGTGTACAGGGACCCCTCCTTACTATTGTGGCAGCTTCCTATGAATGTATAATTATTTCAATATAAAAAGTAAAAATAAATCCTATCAGAAATATTTTTCAAATGGATATTATTTACACTGCCATTAAAATATTGCATGATTGGCTTGAGTTTTTATTTTGATTTGAGTTAATTTCCTTAAAATAATTTTAAATATTTTTCCTTTCCCTCGGCCACCCCAAAATCTCAGAGAACTTGCCATATCCTTTAATCACATAAATAAAAAAGTTAAAAGTTTATTTCAAATTTTCATTTTCTTTCTGTATCCAGGCTTGAGTTTTCCTGACGGGTATTGGCAAGCCGCCGATCCCCTCAGATTCCCACTAACCCATGTTCAACCGTTTGCTCACTGTCTCTGTCCACGTGGAAGCGGTCATTTCAATTCTGAACTCCCTGGATTTTTATCAATATTTCTGGGTCACTTTCTGTAACAAGATTATGTTTATGTACAGTGACGCTTGCTCTCTCTTCCTGTCTTGTTTTTTTGCCAGCTATTCTCTGATGCTGAGCCTCTGAAATCTCCAAGATTCTCCAAGCGACAAACACTGAGTTTGTCTGACTCTCTCTGACTGTCTGAGAGGCAGGTTACACAGCTACAGGTATGTGTCCATTACATGAGAAGACAGGAGCCATTTCAGGGGTTTTGACACTAACCATAGGTGTGTGTGTTTACCTTCCCACCTCTCAGGTGACATATAAACCTGGCAGCTGCCTTCTGGTTGCCTTTCTCCTGCTTCAACCACCAGTCTCCACTCGGCTGGTGCTCCGACTGGGGGGACCCAGGCACCCACCTTTCATCTGCACGAAGTCAAGCTGGTGAATGGACTGCAGCAGAGGACTGTTGTCCAGGCTCAGGTCGAAGTCTGTGGTCATCCTGGGGGTGAGTGTGCCTTTCCCCCACTGGTCCTCAGTCAGGTGCACTCTCCTTATGAGGGCGTCAGAAATCTAGTCACATCAAAGACCACAGCCTAAGAAATACGCCACCACAGTGGACACAGAACACCGCTCCTCCGCTCGTGGGGTGTTCCCAGCAGCCTTCCCTGGGACTTACACCTTCTGTCTCTGTGCAGGTGGTGAGGAGCCTGCTAGGGTGAGGGTGACTCATGATTTATCATGCAAATCTGGACACGTCTGTGATTCAGAGTGGATGATACAAATAATGAGCAGCTGTTAATTTCTCTAATAGACAAACCTGGATATATGATCATGCTATTTATGACGGATCAGCTAAGAGCCAACGTTAAATAATGATATGTTGGCGACGAATGAATCCTACTAGAACCATCAACCCTGATTCTAACGTGAGGTGGGGGTAATCCATCAAGACTTGGAAATGAGTTTTACAAATAGTTTAGAGAGGTTGCCTATGATAATCTGTAAAATGGGATTTCTTACACTTTTAGCCATCATCACCCTCATGTATCACTCTATTCTTTGGCAGAGAGTGCTTTCATTTCTTATATTTAGTCTCTGTCATTCTTGGCCAGTTTGGTCAAAAGTGAGTTGCAAGGGATCTACATATTCCTTAATAAAGGTCTCTTAATCATTGGGATTGAAATGTAAGTAAAAATTCAGCTGACATCCATAGCATCTCACTAAAACAACTAACGTGGAAGAAATCCTGAGACATCCAAGGAATGAAAAACTTCACTTTATTTGGGAAGTCACTGACTTACTGGCAGTAGGAGGCATCAGGAATATAGAAGCCTTTTATACTTAGACGTTCCTAGCTGACAAAGCTGTCCAGGAGATTGTTTGTACAAAAGGACACAATTCTTAGGCAAGGCAATGACTGCTTTGGAGGAATGCATAGGAATTTGGGAATTATGTTTTCATGACTAAACACAGGAACAAATAAAAAAGCCCACGCACTTCTCAGTATTGTAGCGCGAGGTGGCAGAGGCCTCCAGGAGTCAGTGGAGTTTAGCAGGCACTCACAGACGCCTAGCAGTGTGAAGGTAGGGACCCATGTCCGGGCAGGGCTCTTGGGAGTCTGGCCTTGGTAGACTCAATCTCATGGGACATCAAGAACCTGAAGTGTAAACTAATTGATACCTACCTGCAAAAAGCCACTAGGATCATTTTCCTTAATCACCTCCAGGCAGTACTCCATGAGACCTGTGGTCTGGCGCAATTTCACTGTGCAGTGGGAGATCTGATCTCGAACCACCTAGGATTGATGACAGAACAGAATGGTCCAAAAATGGCAGAGACTAGGACAGAAGCAAACTGGGACTTTGGAAAGCTGCTTCAAACCAGAATCCAAGAGCATCGTGGAACAAAACTAAATTTATGAGACTAGTGTATGGCAACTTCTGCTGTGGACAGTGGACCCAGAGGACAGGTTAGATAGTGGCTCTTACAGGAACTTGTAACAACAGGACCCATCACAAAGCCTTGCAGATTGAAATCATGAGAATCTGGTTCCCTTGGCACCTCAAGGGGCATCTTCCACAGGTCCCCCTTGCTCCCCTCTTCTGGGAAGCGGACGATGCTGATCTGCCCTGAGTGGGAGGTCATGGAGGGTCCCTGGAGGAGCTGAGCAACCTGAGGTTTGCCTGCAGCTTCCGCTCTGGGACACAGTAGCCCACCTCCTCCCACCACTGCTTGTCCCTCCTAAACAGCAGCCATCACCCTCTGAGCCCAGTTCCCTCCTCCATCTGACTCTGTTTCTTCAGGTGGGTGGTGGGGTGGGGCTAGAGGTGGGGCTAGAGGTGAAAGACAATGAGCTAATGACAACTAAGCCAGAAAGAGATGGCTGCAGAATTAAGTGTTAAGAATAACCCACTTAGAATCAGCTCCTTTTGGAAAGCAGTTTTAAAGGCTGCTCTGTTTGCCAAGCTGTGAGTCAGCTTTAACCTAGAAAGGCAGTTTCTGCCTCCGGGAAGTTGCCTTTGCCCAGTGCCAGACGCATGACTGTCCCCAAAAAGTTTCTTTCTTCAGAGATGTTCACCCTGTGTGTCTTCTGCTCAGCGACCCAAATCCTAAAGTGGCTTCTGAAGCACAAGGTAGAACAAGCGTTTTTCCTAGGAATCTCAGTCACTTACATCCTGATATTTGTGCTACTTTGCAAAAGCCTTTCAAAAACATCCAGCGTTCCAGATTCTATAGATAATAACTAAAAGGAGTTTTAATAGTAATTATTTAATAACTTTTCCTTGTTCCTTCTATTTTTTTTATTATAAATTTATTTTCCTTTAAAGATGATTGCATATACTTTCCAAAACAAGTGGAAGATAGATGGGGGAAGAGGCAAATCATCTCACCTCTCTGAGGTATATTTTTAAAGCATTTGATGTTTCCTTTTAGATTCTTTCCTTGAGCTAAATTTATTTATAGTTTCAATAATAGTATGTGACAATTTTTCTCCCTTCCCACTTAACACTCTATCATAGGCATTTTCCAGGTTGCCACCATCAATACATGTTACTGGCTACATAAATATCCCATTGAGTGGGTTATCATAATTTATTTAACCATTTCTGTTCCCTTATTTTTGGACATTTAAATTCTTCTTAATTGTCTTGACAGTTCATTCATTCATTATTACCGATCTTTGCTTCTAATTTTTTATTAACATAACATAACATTTACCACTGTAACTATTTTTATTTGGACAATTCTGTGGCATTAAATACATTCATACTGTTGTGCAACCATCACCACCATCTGTCTCCAGAACTTTTTCATCTTCTCAAACGGAAACTTTGTACTCATTAAACAACAACTCTACTGCCCCCTCCTCCCAGTCCCAGGCAAACACCATCCTACTTTCTCACTCTGGATTTGACTGCCCGAGGACCCTCATGAAAGTGGAATCATACAACATCTGTCCTTTTGTGTCTGGCTTATTTCACTGAGCAACTGTCTTCAAGGTTTACCCATGTTTTAACTTGTATCAAAATTTCCTTCTTTTTAAGACTGAATAATATTCCATTGAAAATATACACCAAGTTTTGTTTATCCATCACCCACTGATGGATACTTTGGTTGCTTTCACCTTTTGGCTATTGCAAATAAAGCTGTTATGAATATGGGTATACAAATATCTGTGCAAGTCCGTTTCACTTCTTTTGGGTATAGACCCTAAAGTAGAATTGCTGGATCATATGGTAATTCTATTTAAATTTTTTGAGAAATCATCATACTGTTTTCCACAGCGGCTGCATCATTTTACATTCCCACTGGCAATGCACAAGGGTTTCAATTTCTCCACTTCCTCACCAACAATTATTTTCGGTTTCTTTTTTAAGTAATAGCCATCCTAATGAGTGTGGAGTGGTGTCTCATTGTGGTTTTAATCCATATTTCCCTAATGACAAATGATGTTGAGCATCTTTTCATGTGCTATTGGCCATTTGTACATTTCCTTTGGAGAAATGGTCATTCAAGTCCTTTGCCCATTTTTTGATTGGGTTGCTTGCTGTTCTGTTGTCTTTTCTTTGAGTTTCATGCTTCTGTGCTGTGGCTCTGATGCTCCAGAGAAATCCCTGGCTCCATGTTTGCAGCTGGTTGGACTCAAGGGTTCCTTTTCTTAGGAAATGTGCAAGTTGCAGGAATGACACAAATGGGGACTGGGAACAAGCTTCCTGCTTTCGTCTGCATTATGGCCTACACCAGCTCTCCTAGGACAATGAATTAATCTCTGGTCCATAGTCTCAGAGAAGGCTTTAACTATATCAGCAGTCACCATCTGCTATGGATGGCAAGGGGACAGTTTCATTTTGTTAAGAGGGAAATTTATAGAGGTCATTTCTTGAGCCGGGATATGACTTTAACACTCCTTTGGGAAAGGAGAATCTGAGAATGGACTGTTGTGTCCTTTGAATGCTCAGACTTTTTCGGTAGCATAGAGCAATCCATGATAGTTTCTACAATACACATACACAATTTTGTTCTGCCTACATTTTCCCATTCCATCTCTAACAGGCCAATCTCCTCTTTCCATTCAGCTCAGGTGACATATCCAGCAGCAAGAACTGAGGTTCAATAAGGGAAATTTCATTATTTTATCTGATTTTTTTTTTTACCTTGACACCCTTGCTCAGCATTCTCACTGAATAATTTTGTTCGTATGTTATTTTACCAACCACATATGGAAATTAAAGATTAGACTTTTCAAAATGTTTTTGAATAACTATAACTCCCTTTTTCTAGAGGATCTTAGAGTTGAAAGGTGACTAAGTCACCTATAACGTACTATTCAACATATGAATTTATTTTAAAATATTGGAGATAGAATACACTTACGATAATTGTAGAATTATTTTAAATTCTGAATATTATGTAAATAAAAATGATTATCAGGTATTTCTTTAGGTTTAGCAAAAGAAAAATAGCATTTGTAAAGTTCCTGAAAGAAGTGTAGACCTCCTTAACGACACATTCTAATGTAAGTGTTGTCACAAATTCCCTGTGCAGATCACACCGAGGCAACAATACTCAGGGCCTTAGTCAGCTAAGGGAGACCTGGGAAGGATGTTAATAAACATACAGATAGAACAGGAAACCTGAGGATCCAGTCTAGTCTGTTGATCATCAGGATACTGCCCAGTAGTTCCAAATATGACCTGGTAATATTTCTTGAAAGCTCAAAAGCTCTTTCTCTCCAGTAGCTTTCTGACATTTGCTTTAGTTCACCACATCCTGAAAATAGATATTTGGCTCCCAGTGCTTTTTTTAAACCACAAAATAGTATCTGCTGTAATTTACATTTCAAACAGTGTTCCTAAAATATGGTCACATCTGCATATGTCTCAAAGCCTTTTTTTTTTTTTTGGTAGATTTTAAAAATAGCTTACCAAACTTTGTGAACTATATTGTAGGCCACTAAAGAGTTTCTGAAGTTCAGAGACAGCGACACCCATATGTAGGCTAATTCTACACTGTGAACTATAATTTATGAAAAATAAGCCCCTAGGAGCCCTTCTTCAGTGTGCTGAACGAAACCAGATTTCCAGCCATTCTCTTTCAGTAATAACACAAATAATAATAGAGAATTTTTTTTTTTAATCCTTACCCGAGGATATTTTTTCACTGCTTTTCAGAGACAGTGAAAGAGAGAGAGAGAGAGAGAGAGAGAAACATTGATGTGAGAGAGACCCATCGATTGGTTGCCTCCTGCACTCGCCCTGACCGGAGCCCAGGATCAAGCTTACAACCGAGTTATGTGACCTTGGCTGGAATCGAACCCAGGACCCTTCAGTCTGCCGGCCGACACTCTGGCCAGGGCATAGTGAATTTATTGGGTGCTGTGCTCGGTGTTTTCCAATGTCATATGAGGTTATGGCTACTCCTAACCTTATTTTACACACAAGTGAAAGAAATAGAGACATACACTTGCCCACAGGTGGAGACCCAGTGAATGATAAAGTGTGTCCTCAAACCTGTCATCTAGGACATGGGGTCTGGCTCTTCCCCACTCAGCTCCATCTTGCCTTAGAACCAGATCTGTCCAATGTGCTCAGGCCCTCAGTGCTCTCAGAGAGGGGCATGAGTAGACTGCAAAGGCTGCCTTTCTACAGGCTCACCTTCTAGCATCTCTAGCCTTTTGGATCGCTCAAGAAGAGAGAGTTGCCAGAAAAATACACACACAACTCTCCTCTTTGTCAGCAAAAATCAGGCCCCCAGAGAACTGTGCCAAAGGAAGTGAAAACCATAAGATTACCCCTGCGGGACTGTGAGTGATGGGTTAGCCAACAAAGACAGAAAGGAGAACTGTGCTTGGCAAGTGATGTCTATAAAAGGCCAGGCTTTTCTCACAAGTCTGAGTAGCAACAGAAGTGACAAGAAAGGGAAAAGGCAGGAGGAGAAAAGCAGAGAGGGGGAGTCACGGCGTCAGCATTGTCGGCTGTTTTTAGAAGCAGTGACAGATACAATCAGCTGAAACTGCAGAGAAACAAATCGCTGGAGACAGAAGACAGAACAGCTTTGCTGCCATGGGGGACATCCAGCCACCTGTCTCTGGTTTCTGTAGCCCTTTGGGATCTGGGGCAGGGAACTCCTACTGGGCAGGGTGGAATGGGGGCAGGCGCTCTCTGCTCAGCAGCCCCCAAGGGCGTTAGCGCGCCCTGCGGGGCAGGCCACTGGCACCGATGCACAGTCACGGATGTGGAGTCCCCGTGACGCTGTGTGGTCTCCATCTGCATTCTCAGCACAGCCCATAACAGATTTCCATACAGTCCCATCCTGCGGAGGCAGCACTGCGGAGGCGACTGGGGAGCTTGATACCAATAAGCGATGCTTTCTCAATCTTCCACGCCCTCTCCCATCCAGACCCCTGCCCTTACATTGCTCCCACACAGGAAACCTGGAGTTGCCACTGTAGTCACCACCCATACGACTTATCACAAACTCTTCACTGTGTTCTGTTTTAAAACACCAGAAAAGTGCCTACAGTATTTTAAAGAGACATTTCCATTGAGAAAGTTGAAATTTTATAGCTAGATAACTAAAACGGTTGGCCCCCTATTTGGAGGGAAAACCCCAGCTGTCCAGCTCATTTCCTAAAGAAATCTGTTTTTATTTTAAGTCGCTCTGTGTGATTCAAAGGGTATTTTGAGTTCTGTCGTAACAATGAAAGTCATGGGTTTCTGAAGCATGCTAAAATGAAGGGCTCTCACTGCGATCTTTTAATAATGTCAGGGCAGTGACAGGAACAGAACGCATCCCTCCGCCAGTCCTCCTGACTAGCTGGGTGGAGCAGGACCAGGGCGCACTGTGCTCGGCGCCTTCCTCCCTCCCAGCTGTGAGCCCCAGAAGCCCGCAGGCAAGGGCGTGAGCGGCCGTTAGCACACCCCGCCCAAAGTCTGGGCTACCCCGGTGCCCGCTCTCCCACGATACACCCTGTGTCCCTTTCAGCTGGAGGTAATTTTACCAACTTCCACAGCAGGCCACCTCTCCTCTGCTGGAGTCCGCTGTGGGTGTGATGACCTATTTGAAAAGTAAGCTCCAGGAGGGCAGGACTCATCCTGAGTCACCTTCTCTCTCTCTCTCTCCTCCCCTGCTCCCCCCCAGCACTCAGCTCCTAGCAGCCTGGCAGTAAGTGGAGAGAAGCCTTCCCCGTGCATTGTACTTCTGCCAGCCAGAGGCACACAGTGCTGTGGCCCAGACTCTGGGCTCCAAAGCCAGGTTACCAGCCCTGGAATTCTGGATGCTTGGACCAGTTCTTAATATCATGGTGCCATGGTTTCCTCACCGCGAGAAGGTGGACACTGGTAATAATGACCTCATAGGGGTGTTGTGAGGAATCGAGGAGCTGGTTCCTGTAACACAGTTTGCAGAGTGCTGCCTCAAAGCAAGTGTCCCCGAGTGTGGGCGACTGCTGTTAGGAAAGCCGGGGCTTGGTTGTCAAGGATGCTCATTCTACGTTGCTCGCTGGGCAACCATAGAATCATATCTCAGAGCTTGTCTAGATTTTAATGCAGTTAAAAAAAAATGGTGACTCTAGAATAATTTTTCATTCAGACCTAAACTGGCTGTTTTGGATGAAAATGTTTATGGAGTAGAAATATTTTCCAGATAGTTGCAGCTAAATCTATAAGACTGATATCCACGTGGTAAAACTTTCAGGGAACTTTTTGGGTAAAAAATAGTAGCCTTAATACTGCCCCCACTTTCCTACCTCACATATTAGGAATTACTATATGTGTTGCCATGAGACACAGCCCAGTGGTCTTTCAGGGAATTCAAAAGCAGATAACTTGATCCCAGACTTTAGGAAACTGGAGTCTGGAAACTGATGAGCTAGAGAAAGCCCTGTGTATAAAACTAGCCATCATTCAGCACTTTGGGAATTGTGCATGACACAGGCCACTGAGGTGCCTCCTTCGAAAGCCCAGTGCCTTCCCGATTACCTTCAGTGCCAGTGCACAGGCTCCACCAGGCGGGGCAGTGTGGTGTCCTCAGGGGCCTGAGTTGGTTCTGATATGAACCTGAGAGAGTCCTCCAGTTAGACTCACCACCAGGAAACAGTATTGGTCTCTCTGGAAGGAGTGTTCCAATCTCCAGCCATGGTTCGCTGTCTAAACCAAGAGGCTGAGGCTCTCTGAACATTAGAGCCCTGGCTACTTTTCTTTCTGAACTCTTGGTTCAGATTCAACTGCAAGCTGTGCCATTTTCTTTATCAAGGAATCTGCCTTGCCTCTCCTTGATCAAACTGTGCGTTTGCTGTCTCATCAGGAACACTCAAAGAGACATGGCTCTGATACAGTGCCAGAGGAGGTCTTGCTGGCCAGTTTCATCATGGGGCTCAGCTCTCATCAGCCCCTTCTGGCTTGGACCCCTTGGTCACAGCTCAGCCTTCTGTCTGCCTCCATTCCACAGGCCCCTTCAGAGTGACAGCTGGGCAAGTCGCAAAGGCAGGGGAGAAAGGTTTATATTCCAGCCACATCATTGCCCTGGCTTTGGGGAAGGAAGAAGCACGTGTGCGGCTCTAAATGTGTTTTGAGGAGCAGCAGGTGGGTAGTGGAGGAGGGCACCTTAGAGGAGGCAGCTGGAGTGGGGGTTTTCTTCGCCGTTGGGGAGAAGTGGGAAGCTTCCCTGGGGGAATGGTGCTCTTTATGGTGCTGCCTGGCTCCCTGTCCACCTGGGCTCTGGGTCCTGGGTGTGGGTGGGGCACATAGGAAGGATGGGCAGGCAACTCTGCTGTTCAGGGCTCAGTATGGCCAGTCCTGCTGACGGTCTTGCCAAGGCCTTATGCCCCTGTTAGCACTTGGTTTCTTGCTTTGTTTCTGGTGACCATAAAATGGGTACTGACCTGGCTCAAATCCTCCCTGCGACCAAGCTTTAGTCTAAAATCTTGTCAGCTGTGTTCTCATATTCCTTCATTTTTAAGCTCTTCCTTGGATCTCCTACTGGATCTTAGTCTTTTAGAAGTGGGGCCTTCTCTTGTCCTTCAGGGACTAGAGCCTATTCCAAACCTGCGGGGGATACCTGACACTACCTGGACTGTTCACGGGCTCCCTGCTCCCCCGAGGTTGTATCCACTCACTGCTGTCCACTGTGGAAGTTCCCTGATGCTGACTGTCCGACCCCAACAGAAAGCCTATGGTCAGACCTCATTCCTTCCTCCACCCCAATCCCAGACCAACACTGCACACTACCCACCCACCATCCACTGGTAGGCACCCTGAAAGCTTACTAACCATGTATGTGGACCTCCGCTGACTTCTTCCTTCTGAGCTCCCCTCTGCTGGGCTCTTCCCATTTACCCAGCCTGCTCTCAGCTGTTGCTGCCCTACTTTAACGGGGCAATGAATGGAGTATCAGATGTCTCCAGACATCTAGGAGGACCTGCCCTTCTGCCAACAGGGACCCAGACTTGTAATCAATTGATTCCAGTGTGTGATGACAAGTCTGTACAGCTGTCCAAATGCACAATTCTCTTCCAAGTTTAGACAAATCTTGTTTGCTTTCTGGAAAGTACAGATTCCATTTCCCAATTCAAAAACACACTATGTCTCTGTATGGTCTCTCTGACCACCTGTCTAAAATTTCAACCCCCATCCCCAGTACTCCCCATCCCTGTTTCCTTATTTTTTTCTTAGCACTTTTTCCTAATATGCTGGGTATTTTACTTACTTATCTTGCTTATTGTTTATCTTTCCTGGTGGAATATAAACCCGTGGGGGCAGGGATTTTTATTTATTTTATTACACCTATACCCAAAGCAATTTCTGACCCAGAGGAGTCACTCAACAAACACTGCTGAGTTAAATGAAGAAGTGGTGAACAATGGGCTGTGCCCATTCCTTGCCAGGCAGGCCACTGGCTACCCAAGGCTGTGGGCACCCTGCTTCCCCTTTTGCATCTAGCCTGCGTCACAGCCCTGGGAGCCCAGCTCCTTGGCCTTCTGCTCCCCTGACACGCAGCACTCACCTTCAGCTTGTGCTCATGCTCCTTGTTGACGCGTGCGAGCAGTTGGGCTTTCCTTCTGTTGAGGGCGTCGATGAGGGCATCACACTGGGCCACCAGGCAGGCCTCAAACTCCACACTGTTCTCCTGTGTGAGAGAGCACACCTCTCAGCCGAAGGGGCCTGGGTGCCTGGCTGCCAGAGAGGACAGGGCTCACCTGTCCGTTTGTGGGGCAGAGATCCCGCTGAAGGGAATGAAGAGGAACTCTCTCCACAGTGCACAACTGCCACCTTAAAAAGAACTGGATAAATTACATCCTATAGTGGTTGTGATTTGCTTTAAATTTAGATTGAAAAGGATATCACTTGATAAACTTATTTTTATCAACAGGGAATCATCTCCAAAGTCTGAATTATATTAAATCAAATAAAGCTTTGTTTATAGAGTTGAACGTGAGTCCTTTTGAAAGCTGGCATACGTTCAGCTGTGTTTGGAAGAAGGTGACATTCAGAAAGGTTGGTTGCCTTGGGGATTGGGGTATTGTTAAGGCAGGAGAGATGAAAAAGTCACTAAATTCGGGGAAAGAAAGAAGAAAGGATGGCGATGGTCTTCAATATTAAACAATAATCCAATGACATGGGAATTTATAATAATAATCATGGGAAAAAGTACTTGCTCCTTTCATTAAGGAAAAAATGTGAACAGGAACCGGTAGGCTGTTAAAGTCGGACATGAACCAACAGCTTGTGGAGGAAGGGTAAGCATATTCTAAATGAGTGATAGCTTCCCCATGATGTTTAAATTGAATGCTGCATCTAAATTCTTAAATTCATTTAAATCTGTATATGCTATACATGTTAATTTTAAGTGATTCTGTCACTAAGTTAAAATCATTCATTAAAGGTAATCCTTTCAATATGTTACATTTATAATTTTGACTCTCAAACCATAATCTGAAAAACTATTGTAACTTATAGCAAATGAAAACTAAATACCTGAGTAAACACTAATAACACAGCTGAGTAAACTGTAAACTTTTGGGGACTGGCAAGGAAGGAACAGCTTAGCTTATCAAATTTTAATTTATACCAAAGTCATCAAGAACTGTATCTCTCTTTTAATATAAGGACCTACCGGTAGGTATTTGGTGGTTGTTTTCAAATGCAAGGTCTTCTTCATGTAAGACATGGATTAGTAATTGCTCGAGCAATGACTTCCACAAATGTTAAGTTCTGGCTTTCATGGCAATTGCTTTGAGTTCTCGGAGAAGTCCCCTGGAAAGCATCATTTAAGAGCTCTCTATGTCCCCTGTAGGGCAATACTGGGAGGGAGGGGGAAGCCTTCTCCTCATAGACTCTGATTTAGACCAGAAAGAGAGCTTTGTCTGACGAAGAGGTGAGGTTCAGAGGCAAGTCTGGGGTTGTCTATTTAACGCCAGAAAAAAGCAAAGAAGGGAATCCATTGCTTTAGAAAACAGAAGGAAGTGTACAACTGTTAGATTGTTAGGGAGTTAGAAATTTTAACATGGGCATATATGCCAAAAATAGGCAAAGAATCAGTGTGAGATGCTTTGGAAGGCTGGCTTACATTAAAAAATCCATTTCTGCATTGACATGGATTAAATATTAGCTCAGAAAAACAATTTACTGGAGGCCAGAGCTAAGGTTATGTCTGTGAGGCAAATCTCAAAAAATAAGAATGGTAAACAGGTGGAGAATGTCATTATTTTAGCATCTCATGCAATTTATGGCTTCTCCCCTTTAGCTATAGGGAAGAATTCACCAGCTTCCAAACACTGGCTGATCCGTTGGTCATTGTGTCCAGATAAAGCAATCTGAAATTACCGTCACCAGGAGATCATGGTCGAAAAATAAATTTAAGTATCTAAGTAGGGAAGAAGCATTACTATGGGGAAGGAAGAAAGGAAACAGGAAGAAAAGGAAGGAGGGAAGGAAGGGAGAAAGGAAGGAAGAGAAACTGTGACTTGTTTGTTACCATCAGATAAGATACAATCATTGCAAGACGCTTCGGAGACCTATAGAGTTTAAAAAACTCAACAGTAATAACTCTAAATTCACAAAGAAATAGGCCTCTTCCTAAATACACAGTAGTGGAGAATTAGGACCTCCCTGAGGAAGATAGGAACCACTTGGAAAACTAGGTTCTTATTGGCTTGTTGGCAAACATAACCACCTCGAGAAGGGGTATGTCTGAAGTTGGTCTGTATGTGTGTTTGTATGTATTAGAGGAGACAAAGCAGGAAGGAAAGAAATAGGATTTCCCCCTCAACACATAAATGTAAAAGAGAAGAAACAAACTCCCCCACCACGAAGTGGCATCTTAACCCATGGGGTTTGCTGTGTGTCTCGGGTGCTGCCGGTACCTGGATCTGCTGGACCATGTTGCGGAGCTGCACCAGGAACTCCTTGGCTTCTTTGGCCCTGTCTGACAGCCCGTTCAGCGCCTGGGAGAGTTGGCTCTGCAAAGACGAAGAAGAAAGCAGGAGCTACAATCACATGAAGTAGCCACAAGGTCACACAGCGCTGTGTTGACTGGAGACCCAAGAGTCCTCAGTCCTTTCAGATTGCTCTTGTCTGAGTCGGGCCACTTAGCTGACCTTGGTATATGTGGATGCTGATAAGAAGGGCCTCCAGATGCCTTCAACAGCCTCTGAGTGGTTCTCTTCTGAAGCAGTGAGAACTTCTGGCCATGGCAATCACCCGCTAATATCTGCCTGGAATTTCCTAGTCTCATTAAGTAATTAATTCAGCAGTAATTTATCCAATGTCTATTATTTGCAAGAATTAAAAAACAACAACATGGAGTCAGATGATCCGATGATTATCAACATTATTTAGCCCAAAGGGCTATTGGTCTGGGGTTGGATCAGAAAGAGTGAAGAGGGTCAGGAGCAGGGTGAGGGAAGGAAGGAAGCATCACAGTGTGATGCTCTGGGGCCATTTAAATGTAAAGGTAGATACAAAGGGTGCCAAGACACCCCTGGCCCCCCAGTGCAGCCCCATTGCCCTACCTCTTCCCCACGCTAGCTTCCTAAACCAAGGTGCACTGTCACTGTGATTTTCCACACCACCCCTTCCACAGAGGGATGCAGTTCTCTTGGGGGCACATGATTTCCCAACCTCCCTGTCTGCTGGGGTAGCCACAGGACACACTGCTGATGGGTGAGACCTAAGTGGAAGTCAGCTGGGAGCTGGTGGAGTCTGAGAAAGTCCCTACTTTTCTGCTAACAGGATACCAGTGACACAGGTAGATCCTTCTTCCCTTTTGTTCCTTACTTTTTGGCAAATGTCTTGTGATTCTCAAGAGGAGAAGGTCAATGTAATAAGGGAGCAGGGGTGGGTGGGAAGAGAAAGAGCCTGAGTTCCAATGGCATCTTCGAGCAGCTGAGCCAACACTTGAAGTCTCCTACCACTAGGTTTCTTGTTAAAAGTGACTCCTAGTTAAGTCCCTGTACTGGAGCTTCCCATCACTTGCAGCCATAACCATTGTACTTAATACAAAATCCCATCACCTAGCAGCCTGGGCATGTCCTTCCATCCCTCCTGTAAACTAAAGAGACAAACTCCTTTTCCCAAGTCTTCTTTGAAAACCAAAGCCCACTCTCCTCCTTGCCAACACAATGTCTCATCCACTTTTTCTTTCCAGTAAAGGGACAGAATCTTAAAATTATATCTCTTGGTTTCTATGCATGTTTTTCTTGCATTTGCTTTATTAAATACAAAGTTGGGCCCTAAATCTCTTTGAGAATATGCATGCCAAATGCTCAGTGGATGCAATGTGGGGTAGTAGAAAGAATAAAGTCTTTGGAAGGGTTTAAATTCTGACTCTGTCCCTTACTAAGCGTGACGCTGAGAGAATTAACTTATGGCTGAATTATTTCAATGGACAAAATGGGAGTAATAATAATACTTTGTAGTTGAGTTACTGTGAGGGTTTAGTGCCATCACTAATGTGAGTTTCTGCTAGTTAAGGGTTGTGGTTAAGGGAACAATTCTGAATTAATAAATGCTGCTAGTTACTGACTGTTCAAACTTCTACCCATAGTTTTACCTCACCCATAAAATGAGAACAATACTGCTACTCTTGGGTGTTGTGGGCATTGCATGATATACAGTATCTAAAGCCCAGAATCACACTGGTGTGCGGTGCATACTTGATAAACGTGGGCTGTATTAACTCTTATTTACCTTCTTCCTTCCTGCTCACAGAAACCTGCTGACTGACTGGGGGCATCTGAAGGGGAGATTCCTATAGAAGAACATCTTCTATCACTTGTGTTTGGATTTATGTGCTCAGACTCTGGGATGCTAGACCAACAATGCAACTGAGTAAGAAAAAGCACAAAATGGGCCCACACATGCTGAAAGGGCTACTCAGGTCTTTATTACGAGGTCCTAGCTCCACTATAATTTGGGGTAAAGTTTTCTCCTCAAGAACTTTTCCTGGGAGCCCAGGGGATGAAAGGAGGAAAGAGGGTCTCATCTGGAAGAGCAAGCAATAAAATGAGAGACATACTCTAAAGGAGAAACTTTTTCACTGTTACTTTGGAACTCATAGCCCTTTTTTTACTGAATGAGCAAAAGCTGGCTGGGCTACCCCAGTTTTCTTCCCCTTTTTATTATAACCTACACCTTAGTAATATTTGGAGGTCAGAAGACAGAAGCCAAATTCATTCAGCGACACAGAACTAGAGCTACCTGATTTCTTGTATTCCAGCTTTGCAATTAATTGTCTGCATAATGTAAGTCAAACCTCATCCCCCCAAAGAATTGCTGACGAGGTGCTGCTATAAAATTATTCTGTAGTTGACAAAGAATGCTGGCCTCATCCACTCTCAGGATTTTATATGGCAAAGCAATAAGTGAACTGCAAAGATCTATTTATTTGGAGATTTCCTCTCTTTGTGTCTATGATCAATCCTAAGGATACCTTCTACCTGGCAAATGACTATTCTGGTATTTGATAAACAACTGCATTATAGCATGAAGATCTAGAAGCCTCTTTCTGAAGCTTTGCTAACTTGCAGAAATTGAGCAGGAGACAATGAAAAACACTGGAAACTGTTTATCACTGGAAAATGCTCTTATTGTAAGGATTTATGGTTGTGTTGTTTTTACAGGACAGTCTTTCGATCACGTTTATAAACTACATCTGATATAGAAGAATTTTATTATTGATTGATTTTGTTTCCTGGAAGCATTTAAATTCCTGCTGTGTGCTAACAGAGATGTTCTGTATTCAGGACCACAGAGCAGCCCTATAAATTTATACCAGCACACAGAAGATGCAAATGTTTAGTGTGTTTTCATTACGGTATCTTTCATGGTACACACCATTAGAGGCTGTTTATAATGCCTTGGCGATGGCATTTTGATTTCTTGATATTTGTTTTCCAATTTACTGAGAAAGTGTCATGATCAGAAAGCGAATGAGAGTGAAAAAATGATGTAGGCAAGGAAGCACTGACAAATTTCCCGTCAAGCGCTCAGAGCATGCTCTGAATAACCAAGATCTCCCAGAAGGATGGCAAGTTGTCCAGAGCCTGAGGAGAGAAACAAAGACCTGCCTCCTCCTTCCCTCCTCTCCTGATTACCACCTTCCAATCTCCACCCGACCGGCTCCCCTTGCCTCCCCCCAAAGGAAAGAATGTTACAGGAGATCGGGAGCTCAACCCGGGAGTGCACAGGGAGGATATTTCCAAACCTGTTATTATTTAGCTTCAGTGGATGGCTAATGAAATTCTATGCATCCTGACCAACTCCTTATTTGCCTGCGCATCTGCCCAGCCCAGCCTGGCTGCAGAGCATGCCCAGACAGAAGACAGGGTCTCCTCTCTTTTCCCTGCCATGAACATTATTAACGTGTCATCTCCCAGCCCCCCAGTTTACTAGGGCTATTGGATGGAGACAAATTGGGGCAAATGAAAGGAAGCTTCCTGACTGTCTGGGATCTGAAATTACAGGCACAGCCTTGCTGTCTCCCCAAGGAAGCTCTGTTACAATGCACACTGCTCAGGACTGCAGCCCAATCCACCTCCTTCCCAGGTACCAAGGTACAAAATACAGGAGCAAAGTGACAATCCATGCAATGTGATTCTGTAGGAAGACCCCCACCCAGCACAGGAGAATAACAATATTTCTTGAAGAAATACTGAGTTTTGAGTCTCACTACATACTGACATATAATTAAAAAGTAAAAGCAAAAAATCCTAATATAGGGTATCTCAAAAAAAGTATACACACTTTAACAGCTGATAGTTCAGTTGATGTTTCTTTCTTTTCAGATTTAACCCAGTGGAATTAATAATTATTCAAAGTGTGTATACATTTTTCAGGACACCCTGTAGAGACAATATAGGGTGGGGCAAAGGTATGTTTACAGTTGTGAGTATGTGAAACACAGTTTATTCTTGTCTTATTATTTATTAATTATTGTATTATTTTCCATACGAACAACTATAAACCTACTTTTGCCACACCCTGTATACTGGCCATTTATTCTAAGCCAGGAACTCTGGCTGGTGCTTTTAATACGTACCCAGTTTAATCCCAGTCACCACCCTGCCATTTTGTAGAGGCTCAGGGAGTATACACCTGAGTTTAGGTCTGACCGCTTACATATGGAAGAGTCGGAACACAAACCCTCACCGATTCCAAAGTTAAGCTCTTTGCTTCACCCTCCCAAAGAAGAAAACTCTTCCTTCACCCATGCAGGAAGGAAGGAAAACAACCCATGGTAAGAGCATGTAAAACCAAAGAAGAGTGACTGCTGGGGTCCCCTTGCCTCGATTTGAGAACAACCCTCCAGGGCCATCTCAGTTCCAGAACTCCCGGCAGGAATGACTGATGTCATTGCTTTTCCCTCTGCCTTCTCACTTTTTACTTCCTTACAGGTGGGTCTGCTGAGAGCACTCAGCAACTAAGCATTCCTATGCAACTCTCCAAGTCTGTGCCCAGGGAATCCAACCTATGATACTAAACTCTCTAGGCTTAGTTTCCTCATCTGCAACTAGGGAATAATCACAGTACCTACATCATAGGACCGTGGTGAGGATTATAGGAAATCATGGGTAGGAAGTTCTTCTATACAACACCTGGCATAATGTAGGTATTTATTTAATAAGTAGTATTGTTTTATAATAAAATTATGTTAAAATATACATATATATCATTAAAACACCCTGTCATACCGCATGTCCCAATTTGGGGTTTGGTCAATTATAATTACTCAGATGGTGGGGTAGATTGTAGCTTTGTTCACAACCTTTTGCTCCCTCCCTATTTTTGCCACATGACTTGCAGGGCCTCCTGTAAATGGAGCCTGTGTCCCTGACCCATTATCATCCTTGGTCATGTGATTTGCTTTGGCTTAAAGAGGCACTGTGATTTTCTACCAGCTCCTTTACTCTTCTTCTTTGTCACATGAATCCTGTAGTGTGTTGATAAACTGACTCTCAAA